TTAATCAATAAAATCACTCAGCAGACCTCAGCTATAAGAGAAGTACATGAAAGAGCCAGGTCCTAAAAAGCCAGCAGTACTAACCTAGGTCAATCCCATGAACTATACCTGTGACTCACACAGGAAAGCAGACTGGAGAAAAGTAATAGTGACATGTAAACCATGGCACAACACACAGGAACACTTTTTAAAAGTGCAAAACCCTCAAAATTTCAGAAGAAAAATTCAGATCATCATTACAATGTCAATTCAGGCCCAATATGTGTACTTGCCAATGTAAAATTAAACTGTGGAATCAGGACAGGGGTGGTTTTTGGTTTGGTTTTTTGTTTAAACAGAACATGACCACTGGTCATCTCATACAAGAGCTGGCTTTACTGTGAGGTTCTGCCACAGACTTGCATTTACTAGTGGTGTTCAGGCCCCTGCCTTGGGAGTTGGGATGCAGGTAGAGGAGCTGCAGGAGAAAGGACAACCATACACCTGAGGCAGCTGGAGGACATCCTGTATCACTGTCTTCTAGCTTAACACAGGTCCCTTCACCCAAAGGCTTGCCACAGAAATGTACAGTCCTCATTTTACAGGAGTGCTAGCTTGTGAGCCTGAAGGCTAATTAATAAAGGTGCATTTACATTCATTGCTAAAGACAATGGGATTTTAAAATATTTTAAATGATGTTTTATACTTCAAAAGAAAAATCACACTGTAGACACCTCAGGCTAAGAACCTTTAATTAGTGACTTTTATGTATCTCTGTGTTAGCTTCATATCTGTAAATGTAAGCATTGCTCTATTTCTCCATGGTATGGTGAAAAATTACTCAGGTATCGCAACAAAAATTGGAAAGGACCCACAAGGAACTGCAGGTGTGGGGTGGAGGGCTGTGCGATATAATTTATGTGCATTTATCAATCATATGGCACTGTTGTATCTTTAACAAGCAGATTGATACCAAAAAATTGACCTCCAGCTGCTCCAGTGCAGCACACCAGGCAAAGCTCTCGAGGGGAAAAAATCAGTCAGCCTTCAATTAGACACACATTTAAAAAAGAGGAAATAAAATGGCTATCTCAAATTATAAATTTCTTAGCTATGAAGAATCTGGGACTATGCGAACATCCTTTCATGACAGCTCCCATATGTCATCTTCTCCTTACACAGCGCTTGACTCTCAGGCTAGGCATACCCATGGGCTGCAGCAAACAGCCATCAGAAACACCCAGCCCTCAATTACACAGCATCTTACTTCATACCAATGTTGTGAATACAAATACTGAAAACATACATGTTGCACATTTGGGCTGAACCCACATCTCAAGATGTGTTCCATCCTATGCCTAAATTAAGATACAATTGCTGAGAGGGAACAAAGAACATCTTAAACTAACCCACATCTGTATAAAAGAGAGCACTCTCTGCTCTGCTTGTGTGTGGAGTCAAAATTTGTTAATTAGCTTAAGACACTAGTAGAGGTATAGCCTTTTTGCTCCCTAGGACTTCTAAACCAGCAGCCAGCAGGGTGACCTATTTAGTTAGCCCAGATCTGGAAACAAGCACAAGCCTGTCATTGCAAGCATTCATTTTTAGCCTCTGTGATTTGATGTAAGACGTGCAAGAAAATCTAAGATGGTCTCAATGGTCTGGTCTGAAATGGAAACTAGGGAGGAAGACAGTGATCTAGGAGAGGGGCAGAGCTTAAAAATCTCCTATGTGAATCAGGGTACCAGAAAGTAGCATGAAAATGTCTGCCTCCACTACATGGCTTAATACATTTCTGCAGGCAGGCCCAGACTGGTTCTGCTCATGATCCAAGCCAGGTCAGACCCAGGCTGGCTCTGAACCAGAAGACATGCACCTAGGCTGGAACACTGCTGAGTCTAAAGCAAAACACCCCTGTCCCTTCCCTTAGCACCACTTGCTAACTTGGGCACAGAACTGCACACAGCAGCAGTCTGAACTGGGGCTTGTGCCCACCTGAAGCACCAACTAAGACCCAAGGCCCCCAGAAACAACTGTCTGCCACCTGCCTGCCACATGGCTAGCTCTGCACAGCCCTGGAATAACACTGACTGGAAAATGCTATGCGAAGTTAATTGCCAACAGACCTCAGTTACAGAGTCCCAATAAATGAATTACCTTCTCTGTTGACTATGATCACAGTTCTGCTACACCACCATAAAGAAATTAAGCAAACATTAACTTCAGTAAGGTCAGATGCTCTTACAGATGCCGATTCTGTTTTTCTTACAATCTGTTTTGTTCCTGGTAGGCTCAATCAGTTGTACAGAACATCATCAATACTGTTCTTGATGCTGAAATTAATGGAATACTAAGTGAAAACACTGTTCTGTATTCTTATAAACAGATTCTGATATAACTTGCTGGGAAGAATTTTTTCAAACAGAAAAAATTAGTTATTCCAAAAACCCACAGAAGTCAGATGCTAAAAGCAACACTGCAGAGGCCATTTTAAACTAATTGAACTTGTTCTGAAAATATCCAAGTCTTAACTTCTGACTTTTGCCCATCATTTTGTTTCAAGAAGGCAAAAACATCTGTAGAAGCTAAATTCTGCACTCATACTAATATAAAACTGGTCATTTATTTATTTCTCAAAAACCTTTCAATAGCAACGTTTAATTTGTTCCCAGAAGAACTGGTTCAGGCTAGTGATAGATTTAATGAAACCTGCTGACAGGAAAGAAAGTGCATGAGCAATTAATTTTGTCTTGTTTTACAAGGGTGCTGTTGGCACTGCCAAAACAGAAGATTTAATGGCATGAGATTTATATGATGCTCAAAATACAAAGAATCTGAAGACAAAAAGATCTGGTGTTGTACACTAAAAATTATATACCAAAATTGCTTTTTTCCCCTTATTCTCAAGCAGTCTGAGAAAATTTTCATTCATTAGGTGTGATAAATACCAAAGCAAGTTATGTAAAAGGATTCTCTCTGTCTTTATGTATTCAGATAAAAATTTTCTGAAAGACACTTGAGCAAAACAGGTCAGCAGACTCAGCATATGGTTAATCAGCTAAGCTTTAATGGTCTATGATAGCAGAAGTGCATCATCAAGATACTCTGTTCATGTCCAGTCCTAAAAAAAAAACACATCTGCATAAGTTGAATTATATGTAGGAACTGTATTGACATATTTGGTATCATAGAATTATAGGGGTTGGAAGGGATGATCAAAAGTTTTACTCATGTTGAGATGGAACTTCCTGTGTTGCAACTTGGTGCCATTGACTCTCGTCCTATCACAGGGCATCACTGAAAAGAGACCAGCCCATTCTTGACATCTACCCTTCAGGTATTTATAGACATGAATAAGGTCCCCTCTCAATCTTCTTTCCTCAAGATTAAACAGCTCCAGGTCTCTCAGCCTTTCCTCATATGACAGATGTTCCAGTCCCTTAATCATCAGTTGGACTCTTTCCAGTATATCTCTGTCCATCTTGAACTGGAGAGCCCAAAACTGGACACAATACTCCATATGTGGTCTTACTAGGGCAGAGTAGAGGGGAGGAGAACCTCACTTGAGCTGCTATCAAGAGCTGAACATTAAGCACTTATTAAAAAACCTTTGTCATCATCTAAATTTGGGTTAGTGTTCCAAATATGGGTCTAGTTATCTCTTTCTGGGAGAGATTATGGCACTGTCTGGCACCTGATACATTTATTCTCCCAGAGGCAATTCTCATTGTAATCAATTCACTCCTCAGAACATATTGATTTTCTTCACTTATTTATATATAAAAAAGCCATTTTAAATAGGTTTAATTCCACCCATCAAAAGCATCTCTATGGCTACCTGTCATAAAAAAGTGCATTAGAATTATGCACAGTATACTCTATATTACTCATTAGTATGTTATTTTAAAGATCACTTCAAGCTACCTGCCACTGCATCACTCAGATGATCATTCAGCCTATTAACAAAAACACCAGATCCTTTTAAAAAATCACTGTTTTCTATGAACCTTCCTGGGCATGTACCACATCCTTTGTTCCTATGTCTATGACATTGCACATGGTTGCATGAAGATGATTTGTTATTTTTTTAAGAGAAAACAGTCCTCAAAATGCCGTGAGAAAACTGTTCTTTGACTAAGAAATGACACAGTGACATCTCATATTTTTCTGAGTAATCATTTTGCATTTACTCCTAAGTCTGCTGAAACTGTCAAATGGCACCAGTATTACCACAGTTCATAAAATGCCACAGGAACTGCTTTTCTAGCTCTATTATGTTCTTAATCCCTTTGACATATGCCATCCTGATGCTGCCCACTGCTATTTTTTAGTCAGATTGCAGGCCACAGTTTTTAATAGCATGTGGATTGCAGTTAACTTTTATTGTCACATTTAGTTTGTCACATTTAGTTTGTGTAAGGTTTATTTTCTACAAAACAATCTTAAGATAAATACTTTAGAAATTAAGTAACTATTAACACATAGGCACTACAGAAATCTGTAGCTAACTAGAAGAGTTCAATAATATTTTTGTGCTTCCCAATCTAGCAACCTGCCTGTAGGTCCAAATGACCTTTCACCCTTTCAAGGAAGCTGTATCATGAATGTGTATTCATGGATCAAGCACAGCTTGTTACCTATTACTTTAGTAACTCACCCATAACTCTCCTATGCTAAAGTTTTCAAGATGCTCAGAATAATCAGTGACTCAGAACAAACAATCTCAGCCTGACCAAGAACCCATTAGTATCATTGGAATATTTTACAGTTACTCAAGTGGCCTTTGGAACTGACCCACTCTTGTCAGGTTGATGACAAAACATCGGTTGTTGGAAAACAGACTTCAAAAGTAACAAGCTGTCCTGGGGTACAGGAAGCATGGGGTTATAGAAAGTTGACTGGGGTGAATACCAGTGTGTGCAGAAAGGAAAAAGAATTCTATATTATTTGCAGTACAAATTTATATATAAGCCCATCTGGAAAAGCAACAAAATGAAACAACCTCAATCAATCATCCTTACCGGTTTAATGCAAAAGCATAATGAAATTTAATGTTGTGTTGATCAGCCAGATCACAGGTAGGAAGCATTTCTAGTGTTTCTACCAGCTTCACCATAGCATCATAGTCCTGGTACAATTTAAGAAAAAAATGAAAAAAAGAAAGATAAAAGAAACTGCAAGCAGAGGAAAGCATCACTAAACGAAAAAGTATCATGACTGCCAGACAGTATCTCAGCTGACTGTTCCTAGCAGAATTAGTGAAACATCCACAAACTCTGCATATGGAATTAAAGAGGGATTTGGTCTATCCATGTCAGTACTTGGCTCTTCCTCACCTCAATGCTACTGCCCAAATTACTGAATCCCTCTGGCCAGTTTGATCGATCCCACTCCCAGCATCAGGAAGGAGAGGTGATGAGTCTGGCTCTTTCAGGTCTTATTAAGAACTTGAATGACACTTCATCAGGTCATCACAGACTAGAGCACAGTTCATTCTGGGGTATGTCAGCTGGCTGCACTCATTTTGATTTTGCAGGGGCAACCCACATATACATTGCTGAAGAGGCCAGTTTACTGATACCACAAATGGCCTCACATGATTTAATCTGCTTGTTTAAAATGGGTTTCCAGATTACTACATTTCTCAAGGGAGAGTATCTTCCAAAAGGATGCAAATTATCACCAGAAGCAATCAAAATCAAGTTGGACAAAATGCTGCAGGAAAATATGCATCTCAGAATGGAAAGTTGCGTTATGCAGGATGATGTGGTCACCACTGCTCTCACTACCCATTTATATGTAGGAAATAATCAACTTAGCTCCTGATGGGAAAAAAACCAACAACATTGAATGGTTGGAATTATATTTTAAAGGGGATGTCTACCACACTGCCTCCTGTATGCAGGTTGTGCTTTAGCAAAAGCAGAAGTTACTTAAAAACAAATTTAAGAAAAAAGGTGCAGTTATATGTTAAAAACAAATTAATGCTTCTTTGAATTATAGTTCTCAACTTGGAAAACTCTTGTTGTGACAATGGTCACAACAGATGCATTTTCTTCATTTCTGAATATATTTGACTTTTAGGGTGCAGGAGGGAAAAAAAACATTTTATTTTCTTTTAAAGGAGGTTAAAATGACTAAAAACAAAGGAAAAAACCTCAGGAAGACACCTAATCTGTCTCTCTTGTTCGTAGGCAAAATAAATACGAGTTTAAAGCCCCTAAAGTTGCCCAACAAACAAATCAAACTGTTAAACAATGCAACAATTTATTGTCACTTTTTAATCACTGCTTAAGAAACAATGAAGAATAGAAGAACAAACAAGAGCCAAAATCCTATGGCAAACAATCTTCCCTAGCCTTTAAACACATACCTGAATATCTCTGTAGGAAAGAAGCAGGTTTATGACAATGTCAGAAGTCAGCACTTCAGTATTATCCATCCGAAGCTTAATCCTGGCCAGCTCCTTAGCCAGTTCATCTCCTTGATACTTCTCTCTTGCTTTTCTAATATCATTTAGCAGTGTTTCTTTATAATAGGCACTAAAGAAAAACAAGATAGTAGGAAGACCATTAGATATTTCTTATGAAACATGGTTATGTTCTTAACAAAAACCATAACTTTTAATTGGAAGTACCATTTCCTCATAATGAGGTGCACATCAAACGCTTCCAAATTTTTCATTAACTTAGACATATTGCACCTTACCCCATGTCAGATTGTGGAGCTATGTAGCACTACATTTACAGCCAGGATTGTGAAATTACTTTATGCACACAACAAAACTGAGCATTTATTACCCTGTTATTAACCACAACAGTCTGAAAATGGGGAAGAAAAGCGGCTTTACTGTAGGGCTTCACAACACAATTATCAAACCAAAATCACCCACAACCCTGGTCATAAATGTCAGAGACAAAGGAGAGCAGTAGCTGGGGACAAGTAGTGCCCAGATGACCATTTCAAAATGACACAAACACTAAGTGGTACCAAAATTTACTACTACCAGGACCAACTATGCTAATAGTTTCCTAAGTGTGCACTTCCAAGCGTAGCTCTCCTGTATGCTGACCAACTTCAATGAGTTTCTGCTCCCTCTGTTGTCCCTTTCCTTAAAGTGGGCCTGTGTTGCTTGCATGTAGCCTCTCCTCCAGCACTGCTTTGGAGAAGCAGGAGGCAGCCTGTGCTTCTTTGGGTCAGCAACATCCCAATGGCCCAGCAAGGTGCCAGAGAATAGCAGACCTGCCATGGATGGAGGTGTATGGGACAAGGGTCATCTGTGGGATCTTAAGAGTGGGACCAGGCAAAAAAGGGAGTTTTTTGGGGGAGCCTTTCACTGGCCCTCAGTGCTACCTCATGCTTCAGACACTGGGGACAAAAAAAACCCCAAAACAACCTAGAAGCTCAGTCCCTCCTGGTGTTTTCTAGAAATAAAAACAAAACCAGACTAACTGTAGAGTACAGAGTGTCAATCAGGAAAGAGATTTCCATCTCCAGCCCTGATCCTCAAAACTCCAGCTGTCCCTTGTAGAGTGGCTGAACAGCATCATGTTCATAAAGTGAAGGCTAATATTAAAAAAAACAAACAAAACCCCAAACAAACAAAAAACCCAAACCAAACCATGGAAGTTGCAATTGATTGCCCATTCCTGCCATATATATCTACAGTTGTGTGGCAACAGACAAGGACAGCCTTTGGCCTTGAGCTCTACGAAGAGGCTGTGATCTTATCTCCTATTACAACCTCATGCACTGTAATTAATACTTAAGCACTTTTTAGCTTACCCATGGACTGCCTTTGCCTACTGATATTTCAGAAAGTAATCATAAATCACTTTCTAGCATAACATTGGTTAGTTAACTGCAACAGCTGTAGGACATCAATACAGAAAGCAGTAAAGTTAGTAGCTTCCTAATGTTAATTATGTTTCTTAATATTCACCATGCTGAGTGCCAAGAAAAATGAGACATTTTCAAAATAATTAAAAAAAAAAAAAGCTACTAGAGATTCTGTAACTTTTTTTCATATCATCAGACTATCAAACATTCTGGAGTTTTATGTTTTGTAAAATTACCATGATGTAACATGAACATCCTTGAGAAGGCTGATAAACTTCTCCACTAGTGGGACACAAAGTGGCCCCAGGATATTATCCCAGCTGGGTTGCATATACTCAGAAGCTCTTCGCTGGGCATCACTTTCACAGCAAAAGTAGTCAGCACAAGGTGTGACAATATATGGAATAAAATAATAATTGCCACTGGAAGCCTAAAAGAAAAACAGGCACAGTTTATAAAACAAATAAAAATGGAAATACGCTAGTGTATACACGAGTCTCTCACTGTCAGAAAAAACAGCTAGATTAGGACTGGTGCACCATGGAGCTTTAGCACACTGTTTAACATAAGATTTGCAAGCATGAAATACAGGGAAATTTCTGTGGATGAGTTACAAATATACAAGAGTGATGAATAAGGGTCTGGATGTGCTTAGAGACAACGCAACAACGCCGTTCAGTTTTTCCTGTGATGCAGTGATGCTGTTAGGGTCTGTCAGTTACAAGCTAACCTTCTGCTCCCCAGTTTTTTGAGATGTACTTGCATCCTTTAGGCTCACCCTGTGCTAGGAAAGACATGAGGCAGAGCTCCCCACAAATAGAGAGAAATGCACAAATACAGGCATCAGAAGGACTTTCTGGAGGTGTTTAATCTAGAGGAGCATATAAAAGATCTGGAAACCAACCAACAAAACTTTGAAATGTTTTTGTAGTTTATGTAAGACCTTTAACACAAAATTCTAGAAGTAAAAACCAAAAATCCTTAATATGTCACATAAAAAGTGTGGACATGATCAAGGTGCTGGAAGGGAAGAGGAGACAGAAAATGCCCTTCAGAGCCCAAATCCAGCAAGCTCACAGCGCTCAGCTCCTGAGCTAAACCCCAAATAACAGACAAGCTTCCCACAGCTACCAGAAGCACCAGCATCCCATTTTGAGCTATGACAATTCTCTGCTGTTTAAAAGAAAAGCAACCTTCGCATTTCAGAGGACTGAAGAATGGGCCAGCGTGATACTTCTAGCACAATCAACTACCACGAAATACCCTCCAACTACCACCTTGGGGATATCAAGGCACCAAATCTGTACACCCAAAAGAGAGCTCTTGGTTTTTTGTATCACCAAAGCCTGCAGTAAATTGATATAAAGATCACATATTTTTATATAGAATAAAAAACTAAACAAGAGAAATAAGCTGTTCAAAGGACGTAACAATTACAGCATGTAATTACTAAAAATACAGACAGAAAAAACCGTATCAGTGACATCCTGTTGCTGATCTAAGACTGTAAGGACTTAGAACTTTTAATTATTTCTAACAGATAAAGATCAAGCCAGATTCCTTCCTCATAAACCCTATAGTACAGTATCTGTTGTAACGATACCATTACCTGTTTTAATATTATCTTCACTTCCTCCTACAAAAGACATAAAATTTGCTCTACCCAAACTTGTTGTACATTACAACAATTTAGTCCCAGCTTCATTCAAATAATCACTAAGTTCAGTGCAACACAAAAGCTTCTTGTGCATAAACTCTATTATCAAACCTGTGACAGTGAATTAGCTCTTTCTGCAACAGAAAAAAAAAAACCAATTTGAAAGGATGATGTATCTCATGACACAAACAGAACTGCAGTTATTTCCTGAAAAAGCAAACAAGCTTTTAGAAAATAAAATTAAATTACATATACAAAACACTGTATTAATCTTATTCAGCCAACTTCTCATCTGTTTGACTTCCCAATTTTTGGACAGTGCAATCTATGCAATTAAAACCACATCTTTATCTATGACAGACATGTATTTTTTTGTGCAGAAGTCAGAAACCCCGCACATATTAGAGCACGTCACCTTGTCTGAAAAGCAACCACCTCCAGTTTTCTAGCTTTTTCTGTCCCATATTTATAGACCATAAATTATAAGGCCCCTTCACATAGAGTGTGTGGCCTTTCTAAGAGCATCTGTCTTAACTTCATTACATGAAAAACAGTTCCATCGATCTATTTTTCTTACACCATCAAGAGCTAGAGATGGCTGAAAGTATCATCTTTGCTCCCTCAGGTGGTCTACTCAGGATGCTGGTCTGTGACCCCAAAGCTAATAATTCTTAAGATTACTGCCCTGTCATTTACCAACCATTGCTTTTTAAGATACTGAATAAATTACATGAGAACGAATGAAGTAACATATATAGCAATTCTAGCTGCAAATATATATAATCTACAAATTATTACTCAGTTGTAATAGAATTACAACTCTATAGTTTTATAAAGACTTTATGATGAATTGGTTTATTTCAGGATTAGTAGTTAAGTTGTTTTTGTTTTATTTTGATATATTTTTAAGTTTAAAAATACAAAAAAACCCAAGCAGACTGAGCAAAAAAAGCTCTCAAATCTTCCAGCAAATGGTGTATGCTTAATAAGCTAGCAATGAAACTTTTTATTTTAATCATAACACTTTAAAATCTACCACAGAAAGAGCCAGAAACTTAACCATTTTTTAAAATGTGAAATAAGTGCAAGTAAGTTGAGAGAGGGACCTGCTCTTCAGAGGAAGACGGCTAAAGGGATTAAGAACAGAGCCACACCTTTGCTGAAGGACTGAATGAGTTAGGACCTCACAGGCCATTTTTAGGCTCTTAGGCAAGACAGGCCAAACATAGAGTGCTTTTTGTCTTCAATATACTCCTCTACAAATGATGTTAATGCTATTTAAAGCAAATCTGTGTCCTCAATAACATAAACAGTTGTTTTTTTTCAATTGTACTGCTACAATTATTCCAGTGCTACACTAGAATAAATGGGCTTCATGTTTCAGATAAATAATGATTGAGTAAAATCTTCACATTTTTAGGAAGACAACTATGCTTGAGACATGCACTTACTCAAGCAACAAGAGTATTAGGAGTGCTTACCCTAGTTACAAAGAAAAACACAGGATAACAGAAAATTAATTGCATTCGCTCAAAGAAGTCACTAACTCTTGAGTTTTCAGGGAGTTTAATCCACTGTTGTCCTAAGAATTAAGGTTTCTACAGTAGCTATCAATGACTTCACACTCCTATCCACCTTGTGATACAGGTATAAGGTATTATAAGCTTTTTAAAAGACATCCTCTTCTGAAGCTGAATATATGCAGCATTTTTATGTAAAGACTGCAAAGAGAGCTTATCAAACATTCTAAATGCTTGGGATCTAGCTTGCAAGGAACAGGTATTCCAAGATAACAATCACTTGGAAGGAAAGACCCTGCCAAACATTACTCTTAAGGTATCCTTATACATTTTTAAATGCCTAGAAACACAGTAATAAGATGGCATATCTATTCAACAGAAAGCAGGTTTAAAGTGGTACATACTTTGCCTCTCAGATTACCACCGCGATATTCGGGAGGTACTTGAACCGGGAGAAAAGCTTTGCAGTTGGCAACCTACTCCGGATTGATATAAAATAACAAAAGAGGAGAACACCACCACAAAACAGCACAAGATTCAGAAAGACAGACATGACACATTAATAGAAAGAAACAAGAGAAAATGAATATAGGTATGTATAGCAAGTTCATATTTACAAGGCCAAGAAACCAGTGTAATACTTTGCCACCCAGAATGTGATTGATATTCCTCTACCCGGCTACATGATGTGTCCATACATCTCCTTGTGTCATCATTAAGATGCTTTCAAGCTTAACTTTTATGAGCCTATCAGATTCATTACCTGATCAGTTAACTTAATCCAACCACTACAAGTGTGCATAACTGGAGATAGTAACATTTCCATAAAAACTACCTTTTATAGATAAATTTTAAAAGCTTTAGTTTTCATTCTATTGACAGTAACAGTTGCATATTTCATTATTAGAGACATTGAAAGTAATAGCCTCAGATTTTTTAGAGATACACCATTAAATGATCGAATCATGCAAACTTTTCTATATTGTATAAATAATCAGAAAATAAAAACAGCTACTCTGCAATATTACTTCTGCAGATGATTAAATTCATATAATGCAATCACACCTCAGAGTCTTGGCTCTCATTTCAATCCATTGGGGCTACTAAATTGGAGAGTATGAGTGCAAGTGCCAAAATCTGTCTGTTTAGTTTTCTTAAATGTTCATTGCATTGAAATAATAGATTCATTCTAATTTATACAGCTACTGAAACTCTGAAGAGACTTTCTGCCAGTCAAAATAAAAAGGGATTTTTCAACATAAAAATTCCTTGTGGCAAGGATAAATTGCAATCCTGTTCCCTTTAGATCAATAAGAATTTTTGCTAATGACTCCTTCACGGCCCAGACATTATTATCTGCTTCCTATTACAGTTGCTACTGGATTTAATGAAAAAAAACCACCACAGACATTAAATCTCTGAAAAGAATTCATCAGGCCCACAGGTGTAAGTATACTATAATAAACCTTTTGGTTTAGTAGTCAGCTTACTTTCCTTTAAATGCTTTCCCTAAAAGCAATTAACAACATTATTAAATTTAATTGGTTATACTGACAACTAAAGAAACATTAACTATTGACTTGAGTAGGAGGTTCTAGTTTGTATTCTCAGTGCCACATTCAAACAAACTAAATGGATGGAAGGATGTATCTCAAGCTATGTGCAACCAACGCTAGACCTATTGCCAGAAAGACTGTATATTATGCTTTCTGATTCTAACAGGTTAAAAAGCCATTTCGTGCACTTTCTTTCATTCAATCTGGGACTTTTTTTATGCTCCATTCCTTAAAATTCTTTACAGGGAGAGAACATCACCCTATTGGGGAGGGGGGAAAGTCAAGGATAGCAAAAAAAAGTTGCACCAAAACAGGAAAACTTTCCCATGGATTTTGTTGATTACATTGGTTTGGGAAGAGTATTTTTAAAGCATTTCTTGCTTTTGAAAATCTTTGATATTTCATTTCTCCAGTAAATCAGTGTTTATCTGACATCTAAAGAAAATCCAAAGCACAAGATCATTTTCCACAGATCAATTTATTTTCCACTATGCTACAGTCCAGTAGCATCCACTGTTCTCTCAAACCTTGATTTTTCCATAATGACAGAGGAAACAAACTGTTCTGCAAGACTGCATGTTTGTAATTTATTTTATCAATGACAATTTTGACAGAAATAAGGAAGCATATGCCCTAAGTAAAATTAGAAGAAGATAGTAGTCCTCAAAGCTCAGAGGAGCTCTATAGTAGGAAACCTAATTGGCTGGACTCTGAACCTTGACCTTGGATTTCATGCCAGGGCAATTCTTTATTGGGAACTGAACTCCCATGGACAATAGGTTTTTTTTCCTTTTGTACCCCTGTATGCAATAAATTATCAATACAGATTTTTAATTGCTTGTTTGGGGGAGTCAAGTAAAACTGAACCACGTCCCACATCCTATCCCTCACAACTTCATATCTGGGTGACAAAAGGAAGGAATGAAGGAAGCTCTCCTCCTCTTACACTTTTTTCAGACAGTAAGCTATTAAATCTCTCAGATTCACACCACCACAGCATGCTGCTGTATAATTTTCACTGTTAGATCAGCTGTACTCAGGCCAAATCCCAAATGAGTTGCTGATTGTTTTTCTATGCATTGTTTTGAGCTGTTTCCTCGCACTTGCCTCCTTGATCATGAATTAGAAGAACAATTTTCTTGCAAGGAAAACACCAATTTTCTTCAAGGTTTACTTGGAATAAGAAAATTACCACAAAGGACACTAGACATTCATTTTCTCTGTGTCTTTAACACGGCTCCACACTTTTATGCTATGATTTTTTTGCACCTTTGTACCTTGAGATTTTCAGGATAAACAGCAAAGGTGAGGGCAGGGAAACCTCAGAGAAAGCTCCTAGCTACAGTAGCCTGCACAGAAAGCTTCACTCATGCTGCTGGAAAAGCGGTGAGTTGTGCCTCGTAGAAATCTCAGCTGTTTCCCTCCCCCCTCATACACAGTTGCAGGTGTTTGGACACAGAACTTGTAGCAGACTTCTCTTCATAAAACCAGCAATAGTATTCCTGAGTCTGCGCTGCAGGAAGGCTTAGCATTTAAAGTATCTACTCTCTTTCCAACATACCTCCAAAGCCTAGTGAGGAATACATTCAAGCTTTTTCTGTTCCACAGCTTTGGCAGAGACATACCCTCTTTTCAATCAATACAAAGCCATAGCACAGGGATTTTAACCGTTGTTTCTAATATTCAGCATTTAAACTGGAAATGCTAATTTAAGTATGTACTTGAGTGGACACTGTAAATTCCCACCATTTCTGCAGCAACTAAACTAGCATGGCAATCCTCATTAGCAATTAACTTCAAACAAGACATTGTCCATACAGCTGTGAAATATTTAGCCAAGCAATGAAGCATCATGATGCAGCAGCATCAAACTGCATAGCTCTCATGACAGCTCTTTGGGTCTGAAAGGAGGGGAAAGCAATAGTCTGTTTGAAGTCAACTCCAACTTAGAAAACCCAAGTTTTAACCTATTAATTATTCAGCTTGTTGATTAGTTTGTGATAATTTCTGATATTAAAAAAAAACCAACTGATAAAAAGAACGCAGTATCAGAGTACAATATAAAAAAAAACAAAACTGATAAAAAGAACGCAGTATCAGAGTACATTTATCTAACTAATAAAAGATTACAGGAACAATTTTAAATAACACAACAGTAACCATGTCACCAGATCAATCTTTAGCTCTCTTCCACATGAAAGTAATTACTTTCCTCTATGGGAGAAAGAATCTGCCAAAAGAAGAGACTGAAGGCTGCAAATCTGATCACACCAGGTGGAACTTGCTACCATCCTCTTTGCCTTTACTCCATTTCTGGAAGTACCACCAAATGGCTCAGCCACAGTTCTCCCTCTTCCCCCGGAGGGCAAAACACATTGTTTGTGACATTTTGATCATCCACCAGCTGATGGACAGCAGCATTCACAAGCAAATCTGCTTCAGGATGAGGCCTCACTTGACAGACCCACTGACCAGTATATGCAGTTCACCCCCATGGGTGAAACTAGTTCAGAGATCACCAAGACAGACAGGAAAATGACCTGGATTTACTCACGTGTTCAGCCTGGTCTATCTTTAGCCTACATGCAGCACTGTAGCCAAGAAGCTCACAATAAAATGCTGTGACTAATACATCATCTCTTCTAGTTCTATTTTAAACTACTAACAAACTCTAAGAACATTATTTTAATCCTACTCTATATCCCTCAGAAGAAAAATAAAAGTATATAGTGAATGTGAGGAAACAGAAAGAATAAATGGAAGTTTACAATTTTTGCAAATTCAGTAGTCCTCAAAATTGCAGTTTAGAGCATTGTAATGAAAATAACCACTAACAAGTTTGTTCAAGATATCATGGCATATTGAAATTAAGCCTAAAAAAGCACTACATTTTGTCATGGTTCAGGCTTTCTTGTTTGGTTTTATTTGCATTAAGGGTAAGAATATTTTTACTTTGGGAAATAAGCTTTTGCATTCCTAAGTAAAATCTGTGAATTTGCAATGAAGAGGATGGGTGGGTACACAGTAGCCAAAAGTGATTGAGAGAAAAGAGTAAGGCCTATAAGGCATCACACACACATACACACTTGCACAAATGGGTGAAATGGTAGAGGGAAAAAAAGACTATGAATTTCTGAGTTTACATTGTGATCTATCAACATACATATATAACATACATCTACTGGCATTTTTCCAGAACTTCAAAATGAACTTCTAAACAAACATCATTTTTTAATCTAGCTTTACTTTGGAAAGGAATTCAACAAGATTTCCACTAGTTTGAGTTGTATATAGGTAAACCAGAGTTCCTTCTAATTAGATAGAGCATTATATGCTTGGTAGCTTTTTTATGAGAATTGCTTCAAATGCAGTATCTTCTATTTTGTGTTTTAAAATGAATGGGGGTTTAATACTTACTGTGTTTTTCTGAGATACCATATCCTAGGGAAAAAAAAAAAAAAAAAAAAAAAATCTAGCTTTACTTTGGAAAGGAATTCAACAAGATTTCCACTAGTTTGAGTTGTATATAGGTAAACCAGAGTTCCTTCTAATTAGATAGAGCATATATATGCTTGGTAGCTTTTTTATGAGAATTGCTTCAAATGCAGTATCTTCTATTTTGTGTTTTAAAATGAATGGGGGTTTAATACTTACTGTGTTTTTCTGAGATACCATATCCTAGGGAAAAAAAAAAAAAAAAAAAAAAGACTTTGTTATTATACAGGCTGTAACATTAAATATTGTATCCAATTAAAGAGGGAAAGGAAGGAAAAACTCAGACCAGCGCTCTCACTTTCATGTCTAACCATCCGGAGCAAAATAACTATCCTATTATGGACTTTCTCTTTAAAATAACCTTTTATACTATTCTAACCATTACTATTTTTGCTAGCAGCAGTTTTATCAGGATTTTGTTATGTATCTCTCAGGGAATCACATTCAATGGAAGTTTCAAAAAAAAGAAAACAAAACCACAGCTTTTTCAGGATCAGTTGCTTAAGGATTTTTCTGAAATGAAGCAGATTTTTAAGTGAGAACCTTACCTTGAGGGACTGAGCAGTGTCAGCATCAGTGTCATGGTAAAGTATGACATTGTTAGCCATGTCAAAGCTTTCACGCACACCAAGGTGGTAAAACAGAGATGGCTGCTTGGAAATATCACTCATGTCCACAACTGCAACATCTGAAATGAGAGAGAAAGAGTTGGGGGATTGCTAAAAAAAAATAATAATCTTAAAACCAATTTTATTCTTATATGGTATTTAAAACAAATCTTGAAACTACATACACATTTGGACAGACAAAATCTATATATTCAAATAAAGTTCATTTTTGCATGTTACAAGTATATTTTACCATTCATATAAAGAACCTAGTCAGGAAATTATCACACTGTTACAGTAACTGAAGGCAGAGTTTATTAATTCTGCTTGAAGATCTGAAAACACTGCATCAGGAACACCTCCAGTGAAGCACCAGTTCTGTATTTGGTCTTTGAGCTAGGCCTGATGGTCTGAAAGCCCAGTAGGATGGAAGGTTCCAAATCTTCAGCTAGAATCTCTTAAGAACAACCATGCAGCAGACAATTAGGGAAAACTGTGAGATTAAGTTTGTCTTAAGAGACTGAAGTTTGGAGAACAGGAAATTCCTAAACAGTAGACAAAAAAATAACTGTGGAAGTTGACTCTTAAAAGCTACAGGCAAAATGTCCAATGTGGGGAGTGCAGGAATGAGGGATTCAAGTACAAGTAGCCAGAGAGCAAGACTTCCACTGCTCCTGAGTAGTACTCCATTTGGAAATGAAAGTGAAAAAACTGTGTCAGTGGAAGATGACCTGTACAAAGAGCTAAAGAGAGGGTAGTGGGTAGGACAAGAGGTAATGTTTTTAAACTAAAAGAGGGGAGATTTAGGTTAGACATTAGGAAGGAATTCTTCACCATGAGGGCAGTAAGGCATTGGAATAGGCTGTGGAAGACCCCTCCCTGGGGGTGTTCAACCTTTGTGCAACCTGGTCTAGTGTGAGTAGTGTTACCCCTACATCTCTGAAGGGGTAACAGACAGTGTCTGTACCTATGGGGAATGACAGAGGAGGGTGAGCTACTAGTAAACAAGACATCTAAAAGCAGATCTGAGGTGTAAGATCCAAACAAACAAGCCAGTTTAGCTGGGCTTCAACAAGGTTACACATTACAAGAATCAAGACCCATTACTTAGAATGCAAGTTCTTGGAAAGTCTGCAACAAGTATACATTCCTGTACAATTCCACCAGGCTGTGCTAACATACCACACGGGGGTCAGACAGTACCTCTGGTTACTAAGGGATTCCCTGTTAATGCACAAGGAAAGTTTTGATTCCAAAGACAATGACCTGCCTTAAAACCAAAACATCACCATTCAGGAAAGGAAAAAACCCAAACAACAAACAACAGAACCCCCCCCCCGAACAAACAAACAACCAACCCAACCAAACAAAATCAAAATCAAAACAATCAAAAGAACCCTCAAACCCAATAAAAGAACCAACACAAAAATTCAAACAAACAACAATAACAAAACAAACAAACAAAACAAACCCCAACATAAGATAATGGCAATATGAGAAAAAATCCCTAATTCCTGTGCTGTCTCAAATCCTGCACCATCTACTGATGATCTTTCCAGTTTCTGTTTAGCCAACTCTCAACAGCAGGGACAAAATTCTTACTATACTTCACACTGTAGGGTCACTGTAGGTAAATCCCAGCTCCATGTACACATCCAAATATAGCATCTGCTTTGCATGGTACATTTGCCAAATACAATATTTTAGAATACACAGAGATGCCAAACAAGGGGGTTTTGTATATGTACATATGCTTTATTTTCTTGAGCTCAACATTCTGATTAATTGATCAGACTCTTACCCCTTATTATTCACTTGCAGTTCCCTACCCATCTTGTGGATTTCCACATGCTGCTGGTTTATCTTTAATCTTAATTTCTCCAATATTATAAAATAATTATGGAAAACATAAATTATCTATAAAAAAAAGTTCAGACAAACTAACAAGCAAACCTAGAATCAAATACCATCTCAGGGGAAGAAAAAAATAAATACAAGACTTTTGACAGTTTTTAGTGCTTGTATAAATAATTTCTGTGGAACTAGAGTGCTGTGAAATCAAAATCACTCTCATGGTAGGAGAATTTAAACAATGTGTTCACACTGCACACAGATACTGCATTTTGCAATACAGTGATGAGCAATGATCTGTAACAGCTTATTGAAACAAGGTTATACACAGTTCACTGCCAGATGTAGTTGCCGACAACTGAAATTTGTCTTCTATTGCCTGCTACTACCTAACAATGTAAGTAGCATCAGAAACACACTAAATGGACATAAGAACAGAAGTAAGCATCTGCATTAAAAGTATCATCACTTAGATATTCACTTACACTAATAAAAATAATTAGTTTTTCTTGTGTATTCACAGCTCATGGACACAGGTGTGAATAAATTAAAATAAAATAAAACAAACTGAAGATTAGTGGAGGAGATTAAGATGGTATCACAAAAATAAGCATGCAAGTGAAAAAAAACCACCCAGGAAAACTGAAGGGATCCAACCTTATAAGAGGAATCAAGGGATGACAGAGAAGCAAATGAGAGCAGACAGAAGCAGAGCATCAGAAGTGCTAGTGGCTGTGGACTAGAGCAGCGGTGACAGGCTGCATTCCCTATGAGTTCTCCAAACCCCCCTCCAGCAGGAACAGCAGCAGGCTTGGACCAGGGAGGAAAGATATCTGCTTACAAACCAGCTTTGCTAACGTGCTAATAAAACATAGCTTGAGTCCAGTGGAGCCAGGAAATAAACACAAATTTGGGTGGAGAACAGATGACCAACAGAAACATCTGATTAAAGTGGCAGATCTCCAACACCAACCCAGCACACTGGATGCTGAGAGTTGAGTGTTCAGTGTCACTGAGTCTAAGCACACTACCCAATACTACTGTTCTGGTGTAGGCAGCTTTGTGAATCACTCAGTGAGCCATGTGACACCATAAATATTTCAATTTCTTTTGCCCTGTATTTTTCTTATGATTTATGCTAAAATCTTTCCTCTACAACTCTTTAAACACAGACATGGGGCGCTGTACCACTTATTTAGTGTGGCTGATAAAGAGATAAGAATTCCCTTGAACTTTCTGAGATAGATAAAAAGAAATACTACAACACTAGTATCTGCTTCACAAAGCTTGATTTATGAGTAGAAACATAAGTCAATTGTACTTTGTCCTCAACTCCCTTCGAAATATACTTCTGGGCTTCCCTTCCATATTTAGGTTCAACCTCCTCCATTACAAACAAGTTTGAAGCAAGACCCAACTTTAACCAATTATTTTGACAAATGAGGAATGTTATGCAATAATGAAACATTTCACATAGGTCTAAAAGACCAGTGGATATTGTTTCCTACGTTCAGAAGGAAAGAGAGCAGGGGAAGGAACAGCCCTTCTGTATCAACCCAAGGCTTCCAAATGAAGTACGATGCATCCACCAGAGGCTGTGGAGAGGTGGAGATGTGCTTAATGTTGCACATGACCAATTTTGGTTGATGCTGAAACAGAATATTTAAGCCAACTGCTTTGTTTCTGCAGCAGCAACTCACATTCAAAAGAATCAAAATGTGTCCTTCCTCACTTCTTCTTAAGCTTAGGAGATCGTCTCAGCTTTTTGCGCTCTCTCTTAGTTGCACATGAAATTATTTTAAATCTGAAAAGTTATCTTTTGTTACAAACCCAAAAATTGATCTCACTTTATTAAGTATCTGATTGCAGCTCATTTGTCTAAGCTTTTGTTTCTGTTGTAAAACAATCACACTATGTGTATATTTTTTATTGCTTTAAGGTAATTCATCAGTATTACTAGTGCAATCTTCATTAGATCTCTGCATTGTTGCAGCAGATGGCACATAAGTAATTTCTTATATTACAGTTTACATATTGTAACACTAGCTTGTCTTCGGAGACCAGACAGGGTAGAGATATATAACTATGACAACTGAAATTAAGATTAGAGATAATTAGCTGTGGTAAAACAGAAGACAATTAAACTAATAAATAATTGACAGGAAAAACATTATTACACAGGTTAAAACCAGAGGACTTACTTCTCTATCTGGAATGCACACGAAGGCACCATATAATTGAATGATCTAAGCAAATCACAGGTCTTCATGTGACTGTTGTATGATTTATAGCATTGCTAACAACAACAAAAGGAAAAATTTGGCAGGAGACTTGGGGATTTTTTAGTTAAAAGTAGTAAACAAGAAGAAAGTCAAATGGAATCTGGGAAGCCTAACAGAAGAAGAAAGAGTCAGAAAAAGTCTGTACTGCTTTCAACTTCTAATCTAAGACTCACCTCCATCCAGCCTTATCTGGATGGAGAGCAAGAACCTTAGTCCATTATTACAGAACCATTATTTTTCAGCAGTTGGAACCGATGTCTACAAAACAGATTAAAAAAAAAACAAAACAAAAAAACCCCACAACCTTAACATGAGAGCAGAAATCTTTCTGCAAGAAAATGCAGAACTCTTCCACTTTTTATTCACTAGCATCCTGGTAAATTATGAACCTTCAGGTTACTACTGCTTCAGATTATTGGCTATTTGCATCAGTGTCCTTCACAGTACATAAACAAATTTGTTATCCATTAAATCCACTGGAGGAAACTGTCAAAGTTATTCTTCTGAAGAACAATGCTTCTAAGAAAAAAATTTCTTAAAACTATCTTCAAGAACACGCAACTTAAAGATACATAAAGTTTTTATAGGGAAACAATTATGGTAAAATTTGAAGTGTATTTGAAAACCAGGAACTTTTTGCAGCTTTCACTTAAGCTAAAACAAAAGGCACAAGACTCTCAACTTTAATATACCCTGTCCTCCCAGAAACTGGGAGAAAGAATAGCTCAAGGCAATAAGGCATAGTAGTAACTACCAACAGAACTATTATGGCATTTTTTCCATGCAGTTTGTTACACCAGCAAACTCTCAATACTTTCCATTAGGACTTAAGCACAAGCCAATTTTAGTGTAAAACCACTGTCAATATCCATAAAGCTATTTGGCTCTCATGATGCAGCAAGTTTTATTAAAATTCAATTGCTCTATTCTGCAAGAATC